AAGGCCTCATGCAGTAGTCGTGTGAACACAAGATGCATGTCTAACCTGTTGAGTTCAGCTTCAAGGACATGAAGTAGATGGCGTAATATGCCATTTCTGGCTTCGATCGTCGCACCGTGTTCTCCACGCGCACAATTCCTGAGTTCAGCGCCCATTGCCTTAAGGACTGCTTCTGCAGTGTCGTTGTTGAGGGCACCCTCTCCGTCGGAGTAGAGTACCTTTGCAGGTCCGAACTGCATCCAGTACTGAGGATATGCATCCAAGATACTGGTCATCGGCATGTCTGGTATCTCCAATCCAGTAGCATATCGAATGCGACGATCGATGCTACTATTTTCCCCCAGCGCACGATATTCGTTTCGTCTTTTGTTTCCCAGAGCAAAATGGCACCATAGACGCGCCTCAAATGCAACTTCTTTGTTGCACCATACCGAGCACCCCATGCCCGTGGACCCCTTTTCTAATTTGCGGCTCATATGCAACCCTTCGTTGCATTTGTCTGAGGGGGGGGGGGGGGGGCGAGGCAGAGGCGGAGGACGAGAACAAGAGCGAGTCGAGGGAGACAGACAACAGTGCTGCGCGCGCATCCCATCGATGTCAAACCGACTATGAATTAGACAGCACAACGACTAGCTAAAGGACAGTGCACAGTTCAATACATCGACCATTAACGACCGACGATATGAAATATATTGTGATCTTGCTTGTACAACATCAGGTGACATTCCACTGCTTCGTTGAATTTGACAGGCATTACAGTAGATGGCATACCCGTATGCCCAGGCTTGCCCCAAGCCCTGCACTCCCGACATGCGTCGCAGACACCCTTGATCAGGTTGAATCTGACGTTGTCCAGACCTCTCTTGGTTAAGACGAATATCATCTTAGGTTCTCTCGCGTGGAACCAACGCAAGCGTAGCTTCCGCAGCTCGCGTGTTACCACGCTTGGGTCAAGGCTCCGACAATTTTGATAACTGATTTGTACGTCGAACCGTGACCAGTCTGGAAGTCGTGGTCGCGCAGCAGGGTTGCCCGCTGGTGGCGGAGGAGGTGCATATCCACCTTGCTGTCGGCCACGTCTGACTCTAACCTGTGGCACCTGGGAGGTGGTCATCCGAACTCCCGGCTCCACTCGAGGCAGATTGCCCTGCGGCAGGTGCAGCAGCATGTCTGCCTACTGTAATATCGTGGCTGCTGGCGCCCGCTGTGGGTCCGGCTCTAGAGCCAGGTCTTGGTGCTCTTAGCCGTGCATGTGGTGGCGAGGCTTGCGCCTCGGGTGGCGGTGCTGCTGGTTCAGCAGGAGCTGGCGGTACTTGACCTGCTGCTGGTTCGGCAGGAGCCGGTGGTACCTGTCCATGACTGTCAGGCAGCTTCCAAGGTTAGGCAAGCTTGCATTTGCCAGGTGTCCGTACATGCCCAGGCTTGTTCTGGCCGTAGTTATTCTTGCAGCTCGGACATTCCCAAAGGTAGTCGCCCTTATCGCACCACCTGCAATGTTTGGGATTCCTGCCATGTGAGGGAGAGCGCACGTTAACATTATCCGCGCACGCAGGACGTCCGGGCACTCCCGAGGGCGGTCTCGTGATCGAGCCAGGGCTTCCGAGGGATAGTCGGATCGCCCAAATCATATCCCCTCACGTTGGTAAGTAGCACGGTGGAAGAGCAAGGGTGACCATGGAAGGGATCACGGTTTACCTGGAAAAGATCGCGTGCGACCTGAACTCAATCGACAAAGAGGGACTGCACTTTTGAAGTATAATGTGCAGCCATGGACAATTCTCTGTTGCAGACCGACGCATGTTGATGATGACCAGCACATCGTCTTCGTTCAAAAAGGGGTAAGTAGAAGGCGGTGGTTGGCCATGATCACGGTCGGTTTTCGTATCAATACACCATGGAAATCGCGTAAACCACTAGTACATTGGTCCATATTCATATTGCAAGTGCCCTTGCATTTTGCCCATGTTGTCCATGGTGGTATCTGATCCACCCAAGTACCCACTGGTTGCTCTCGTAAATACAATCGTCGAAAATCGTTCGGACATATAGCACTCTTACCACGCAACTTGATATGCGGCAGATCTTCTCTGTGGTGTTCATACCAAGTATCGTGGTTGACCGAGGAGGTGAAATATGAAGGTAGTCCAGTCGTTCTGCAGCTGGGTTGAAATATGAAAATATTGACGAAACAAACGTCTAGGTAGTGCATCACTGCATCCTGGACATCCTTGTTTCCATGGTCGACAAAGGAGCGTTTGTCTAGGTTTCCCCCTGAAGACAAACCTCGGCTGAATGCTAGCTGCGATATTGTTCCACTTCCTCCACATAATTCCAACATGTCCACCTCGCTGTGCCGCCCATAGCATAAGGAGGTGATTATGGAGAATACATCTGCGCAGGATTCAGCAGTTAGCCCCGCAGGTAATGCGATGAAGGTTTCCTCTTCATCGTCGCTTTCCGTGTCGGAGTCCAGGGGAACATCGGTGTAGTACGCACTACATCCGACACCTTTAAAGTGAACTCCGCAGTCATCGTTGCATTCTCCGACTATTTTGGGTATCTCGCGTGGTTTGATGCCCGCTTCTTTGTCTGCATTATGTTTTCTGTTTGTTTGATTCGGGAATCGGTCGGTAGTGCTGTCTGTTGTTCAGTCTGTTGTTCAACACCAAACGAACTTAGCGCTGGGAATTCGGGAATAGAGGGAAGCGCCCGCGCTCAATCGAAGGGGAAGGGAGACGATCCTCATCGACAAACGTAACTCGCCTTGGGCGTGGACGCGTGCCCCCTTGTCCGATGAGACGCGGTTCTGGCGGCCCCCAGTAAAGTCGAGTGAAAAAAAACAGAAAAATGGCATCTTGGATCTCGATGTCTTGCACGATCTTCTGATTGTCGCCCAGGTTCATCGTTACCCGTCTGACGACATGGCCCCATTCAGGGCCATTCTTCGGAGACTGAACGTAAGTGCGAACTCCTTTATCCACTCGTGTGTGGATGCTAAAGTGTACAACACTCGTGTGATATCTCTGTGTCTTGCGTAAACCCATGTGATCAATCAATCTCGCTGTCATGCTAGCCAATGTTTGGTTACGCCATGCTGCCTTCTGAGCTCCATGGACATACCAGTCCAATTCCTGCTCAGTGAGTTGGGCGGGTTTCCCTGCTGCTTGGCACGTGCACCTCCACAAGTTGGTCGGGATGCGCGTGCAGGTAGTTTCCACTTGCAGGTATGATCCGCCTGGCAACTTCCTCGAACGGTCGCATTTCAAACCGAAATGGCAGCATCGCATACGCATGACCTGCAAGTCGAGATCTTCAAGAGCGCCGCACATGGGACCCTGTTTCCAAAAGTGCCCTGGCGGCCCCACAAGTACAATAGACATACGTAGAGCCCGAGCCTTAGTCATTAAGTGTTGGATGCGTTGATAATCTGGCCCTGCCAGCTTTCCAGGTTCAACGTACCAGGCAGCGGGCGTTGCCACCCACAACAGGTGATAGTCTCCCGAGAGCCCCGCCCCACGCCTGGGAGGTGGGGCCCGTAAGCGGGCGCGCGGCAGCCCCGTCCCACCTCCGGCCCCTGCTCCACTCTGGGCCTCTTGCCCGGTCGGCTGCGGCTGGTACTTGCCGTCTTCGTCGTGCTGCTGCTCGTTGCGGCGGCGGCGGTGGTGGTGGTGGTGGTGGTGGTGGTGGCGTCGGTGCATGTGCTGGTGCTGGTGGCGGTGCTGCTGCTGGTCGTTGTCGTGGTAGTCGCCGCCGTTGTGCTCGTGGTTGTGGTCGCGGTGGCGGTGCTGGCGGTTGCGTTGCTGGTTGCCGTGGTCTTGGTGGTGCTGCTGGTCGTCGTGGCGTCGGCTGCGCAGTCTGTAGTGTTGCAGGTCGCTGTCGTGGCGCTGGTGCTCTTTGTAATTGCTGCGTCGCTGCTCAGTGTTGTGGTAGTGCTGGTGCGGGTTTGGGCGTCAGTGCTGCGGGCTGTCGTCGTCGCGCTGGCTGTAGTGGTGCTGCTGCTGGCCACTGTCTTCCCGCTGCTTTTCGCCGTCGTAGTGGTTGCGCTGGTGGCGTAGTTGCTGGTCGCTGTCGCGGTGGTACTGCTGCTGCTGCTGCTGCTGCTGCTGCTGCTGCTGCTGGTCGTCGCAGCGTTGCCGTCGGTGAGGGTCGCAGTCGTCGTCGTGCTGCTGGTGGCGCTTGTGATGGTAGTCGTCGCAGAGTTGGTGCTGGTGTCGCTGCTGGTGGTCGCGGAAATGGTGGTGCTGGTTGTCGCCGTCGCAGTCGTAGTGGTAGTAGCGGTGCTGGTCGCCGTCGTGGTGGCTCTGCTGCTGCTGCTGGTCGTCGTTGCGTCGCCGTTGGCAGGGGTCGCTGTCGTCGCCGTGCTGCTGGTGGCGCTCGTGCTGGTGGCCGTCGCAGTGGCGGTTGCGCTGGCGCTGCTGGCGGTCGGCCCCCGCTGCCGCTCTCGGGGGGGCCCGCGTCCTCAGGGGAGCGCCGACAAGAGGTCCCCCCGCCAGGGTGCTTTTCCGTCCGTGGCTAACATCTTGCTGGGCACGCCCCCTAATAGGCTAGCCGCAAAAGCGTCGTGGATGGCAACGGACAGCATGCCAGTCCACTCGCGCAGAAGCGCCGTTGTCAGCGACCCTCGGAGCGCAGCTGGCTCGCCCCTGGCCCGGGCCCGCGCCAAGGCACGCTTCCTCGCCCCAGCGTCCGCCCGTTTCTACTCCGGCCACCAAGTTCTAGCTGCGCCTGGAGCCCACGAGTTCGGGGCAGGTGGTCTGCTTGCGGCGGCGGGCTCGCTGAAGCACAAGACCCGGGCGGCGTCTCCACGCGGCAGGCCTGCCAGCGGCCGTCAGCGGCGACACTGCGCAGCTCCGTGCCTCTTTTTCGAATGGCCTCAGTAGGGTTGCCTGGACGGCCGGCCCTGCGCGCGACGAAGACCTACCCTGTGTGCCAAATCTTCTCGAAACACTGTCAGCAGCCTTGGCCGATTGGTGGAAGCACCATGGCGTCAACCGTTTCACATGGGCGGTGGCGCGCCCAGCCTTGTCCGCTTGGCCTTGTTGGATGGGGCAGCGTGGGCGCGCGATGCCATCGTCACGCTGGTCGGGCACACTGCTGGTGCGACGCGTGCCCTGGCATCGGCGCGCCGGCCACGGGTGGGGCCCCCCCAGCTTGCGGACCCGGAAGTGCACGATGGCCACGACGCGTATCGACGGGCAGTAGCACAGGCCACGTGGTCGGCCCACAAGGCGGTCATCCGCAAATATGCCCAGCTGCGACGCGATGCACCGAATCAGGCGGAACGCTACATCGCCAAGTTCTTCTCTGCTCAGCAAGCGTTCGAGATTGCACATGCACAGCCAACCACAGGGGAACCCCTGGAATGCCCCGGCATGGCGGCGGCTGCGGAGGCCGACTTGCGCGCTAGGGTGGATAATGATTTCCCTCGCGACCCGGCCGAACAGGACGCGCAGCGGAAAGTCGTGTCCACCATTCGGGCTGCCGGGGCTGGCGAACCTGCACCGAAGGCAGGCAGCGCGGACAGGCGGTTGCGAACGGACTGCTTGTCACCGAGGACAACCCTTTGGAGCCACCATGGCCCCCCAAATAGCCGCCGAATTCCGAAGGAGTTGCGCGGCAATTTTTTTGGTTTGAAAGCATGCAGTGCTGGGCGCGTAGGCCAGCCTGCAATGCCCCCTGACGAGCATCCATGTTGAACCAAACGCTACCGCGGCCGTCGCCATCATCAACGCCAAAACCACAAGATAACACATGTTACAATCATAGTCGGGCTGAGGTCAGGTGAGCCTGCGTCGCCGCACATCGACTCTTTGCCGCAGCTGAGTGCTGCGAGCTCCCAGCAGCATTCGTCGGCAGCTGTCAAAGGGCCGCAAGGAGGGCCGCCGAAAGGGCAGCCGAAATCGTCGCCGAAATCGTCGCCGAAATTGCCGCCAAAATTGCCGCCGAAATCGCCGCCGAAATTGCCGCCGAAATTGCCGCCGAACTTGCCGCCGAACTTGCCGCCAAACTCACCGCCGAAATTGCCGCCGAAATAATTGCGAACTCCGCCAAAATAGCCGCCGGAATTCAGCCGCCGAAATCGCCGCCGAAATTCAGCCGCCGAAATTTTCACTGCCCCGTCGCAAGCGAAATCGCTGTTCCAGTTAGCACGATGACGCCGCAGACACAGGCATAGAGTCACAGCCAAGGTCAAATTCGGCCTCTTTTCGGCGGAGCCATCTGGAATTTCGGCGGAAATTTCGGCGGCAATTTCGGCGGCAATTTCGGCGGCAATTTCGGCGGCGATTTCGGTGGCAATTTCGGCGGCAATTTCGGCGGCAATTCCGGCGGCCCTTCCGACGGCTCTTTCGGCGGCCCCTTCGGCGGCAATCTCGGCGGCCCTTTCGACGGCTCCGTCGGCGGCCATTTCGGCGACGTTGTTTTTGCCAACAGTCGACAATGGTTGCCGGGAGCTCTCGGCTCTCGGCGACCCCAGCGGGCCCTGAGAGGGCCCTCGAAACCCCTCGCCAGAAAGCGTCTGCGAAGTAGCTCAAGCCATGCGTGATTTGCACGCGATAGCATGCGCAACGTGCAATACGAATGCCTTGCATTATGCGTCAGCACGCTCTAAGGTGCGCCTGGAAACCACCGCGCGGCAGGGCGCGCCTGCACACTGAAACTCTAGGAAAAACCTCAATTTCGTCTGGAATGGACTTCGGCGCGCGACCCTTTTCGTCTCCAAAGAAAGAGCCACTATGATGCTTGTACACGCCAGCTGAGTTGGAGGCAGCGCTTGACTCCTCAAGGGAAACGAGTTCGACCCCTCGGGGCTGCTACGCAGCTGTCCGCGCAGTCAGCGCGCCCGGCCGCCGCCTCACCCTTGCGCTCATGAACTTGGCCCGCCGCGTTTATCTGACATCCGCCATGCGGTCACTGCGGCACGTGGTGCCTTTGCACAAAAGTGGCCCACGTGTTGTGCGAAAGTTAACCCTTTCTGCGCCCTATCTCTGTATCCTGCGACAGGGAAGGCGTTCAGGATGCCCTCCGGCTCAGCCGCAATGCCGGCAAGCTGGAGGCCTATGCCGGGGCAGCACGGCAGGGCGGTGTTGGAGACCCGCTCTCGCTAGCGCTCGCCCTCGCCATCCATGCACAATTACGCGCGTCGCAGAACATGCCGACCTGGTGGGCGCTAACGGACCTGCGCTGGGCTTTCGACGTGGCCTCCAGGCCAGCTATGCTGCTTGCCGCGCTCGCAGCAGGGATTCCTGGCGCGGACTGGCTCATCTTGGACGATACTTTTACCCAGGACAGGCTCTGCGTTTCATTGCCTGGTTGCCTAGGCGCCGCCTTTCTCCTGGGAGCCGGGACGGTCCCGGGGCGCCGTTTCTCTGCGCACGTTTTCAATGGCCAGCTCCGTGGGCTGGCCGATGAAGTGGAGAACGTGCTCCCGCGAGGATGTTCCTCCTTCATCCCCGCGCCGCACCGCCGCATGCTAGCGGGGTTTGAAGCCACATGCCCGGCGCCAACCAGCGATCCTGCAGCACCCGCCCCGCCCGCTTCGTCGGGGAAGCTCCTTGGACTTGCCGGGGAGATTGTCCACAAAGCGGCGGCTGAGGAGCCCCCAGGGCCTCCAGCTCAGGTGCGCGCGCGCTGCGCGTTGACAGCATGTGCGTCTCAGGCTGATAGGGTAGCGATTGTGAACGCCTTCGGCACCGTGCCCCTACCTCCCGCCCAATACTCGGGCGACCTCGCAGTCGCTTGCCCTTCCCCGGGCGCGCTGCGCGCCGTTGTCTCTGATGAGCCCATGTCCGCGCGCTCGCTGTACGCGCGGCGCACGCGCGCCCAATTCAACTACGCCACGGGGAACACTGCGGTCATGGCGCTGTGCGAGAGCCCTGACCCAGGATCGGTAGGTGCCCTCGTCGTCGCATCGAAGACCCTGCTTGGCGTTCTTGTTGATTCTGGCCTCACCTTTTCGCCCCTGCTCTCCTCCCTCTCGCGCGTGGCCATGCAATGTTCGCGTCGCTGCTGCGCGCCGCAGAGTCGAGAGGGCCCCCCCGCCTGCAACGGCAGCCCAAGTGGTTCGCTATGCTCATAGGGATGGTCCCGCCGTCGAGGAACGAGGACGCCGCCTCGTGATCCCTTAATTCCCCCGTGCAGTCGCGGCAAACTGGCACCTCGCACTGCAGGCAGAGTTTCCTGTAGAACGGCGGCGTCTCCCAATCCTCCGAATGTCTGTCGGGACACGCGAGACATCGGACGTCCTCAGTGCACCCGAATAACTTCCCTGATCTGCCTTCGAAGCTGAACTGGACGGCCCACCGCGACACGTGGCGCCCCTGGTTTCCAACACAGATGCTCAACGGTACACTTAACACCTTTTGTCCTCTCCACGGGTACGCCTTGATTGACTCGAGGTCCCGATCCACGTACCGCTTCTGCCATAGATCGAACCCGCAGTTGTTGAGCAGGGTTCCAGGGAAGTTCTTTTCAACGTCCTGGAAAGCCGCCTCTTTCCAATATTTTATCTCGACGCTGCCAGACGCGAGGGAGATGGAACTCGACTCCAGGTCAACTGGCGGGCACCCCGCGCACGTCGTGCGAAGCTGACCGCATATGAAACAGGCCAGACATCTCGTCGTCTCGTCGTTGTACCGAAGCGCGAGCAGGTTCAGGGATCGCCGAGTTGTCGACAGCCCCAACATTGGCCACCGCTCCCGCTCGGCAACGGCCATGGCCCCGTATACGTAGTCCAAGTTCGTCATCCAGCGAATATCATTGTTGCAGATCTTACTTATCACACTGGCATGCGTGCGATCCCTGGCGCCCCCGGCAATATGGTGCAAGAAGGCTGCCCGGTCACTCGCGTGGAAACGGCAAGGCCCACTCTGGTCGTTCTGGAAAGGACACGAGTACAAAGGCAATTTCACTCCAGTTTCCAAATCGGGAGCTGTCAAGACTGCGCCGTCAGCTGTCAGCGGCAGCGTGGGCCGTTCTCGCATGAGTTTGCGGAGTTCTCGGCAACGGCCATCAATCACGTCCATTTCCACGGGCGCTCCACGGACCTGCCCCGCGTTGGCGCCAACTGCAAAATATTGCTCCTCCACGCCGTCGCCCCCTTCGCTTTCAGATTCCTCGCCGGCGCCTTCGCTTGACTCCGAAGCGATGCGTCTGTCAGTTGCCTCGACAGCTGGCGTTCCTGCAGGGCCTGGGAACTGAAACCCCAAGAAATCGAGCACGTCCGTGACGCACTGGCCTCCTTCAGTCGCGGCGACAGCCGGCATTCCCGAGGCTGCGCCCTGGCTCTCCGCCGCATTGACGTGGTCGTCGCAAACGGCGTCGCATCCACTATGCATTTCGAAATCCTCCTTCAGATGCAATCCAGACTTCCCGCCGGTCGCGCGCCGCCCAGCGCGCGCCTCAGGCGGCGGCGGCGGCAGCGGGGCGCACTCGTTACTCTGGCCGTGCTTCTCTCGTTCGACTTCCTCGTCTGTCCTTGCTCGCTTTGCCAAGGCACTCCCATCCTCCTGCCGCGTCGCCTGCCCCGCCGCTCCATCGTTCCCGTCTCCGCGGCCTCTCTCTTCGGCAGGGGGACGTGCCGGGGCTCTTTCACTCTGGGTTTTCGGGCGCTTCGCCTCTCTGCGCCCATCATCGTCAGTGGAGCGATCGCCTTCCGGGCTTCTCCCCCGCCCAGGCAACTGCTCCTGCGGGCAAACCCGCAGCCGCTCCAAGTGTGTTCGGACAGCACCCTGTCCGCCGTCATCTCGAAGGGACGTGGCGACCACCGGAAGGCTCGGATCTCCGACGTGCGAACGCGCGTACGTCAACTCGTGCGTCGCAGAGCAGTGCACGAAAATGACTACATTCTGCCTCTTGCAACGCGCCAGCGCAAGCAGTTCGATGTCGCTGAAATAATAATCTGCGCACGTAGTCATGGCTTCCAGATAGGCAGGATAGACAGCATTGAAGAAATTTGCGGGCAGCCCGGCAGATTGGTGGTTGCACTCCCTGGCCTTGTCCACTGACTCTGCGAAAGCCGTTATAGGTTCCAGATCGACGCCGCCGTCGAAATCGAGGCCGTCAACCACGTCGTGGATCTTACTGAAAAACAAATCGAATGAGTTCTGGAGACATGCGTCTTCAACGACACTTCTGTGCCACTCTCGAGCGCCAGCGGTTCCCGCGAACAGCGCCTCGCACTTGCTCAGGCGGCGCCCTCCAGAGAACTCATCAGACGCTTCCGCCGTGTACTTATCCAACAACCCCAGGGATCGCATCAAAGACATCATGAAGACATCCTGAAAATCTTCGACGCAGAGACAACCAAACTCTTGCATTATCCTTGTTTTACGCTCCCTGTGCAATTCAAACTTTTGCAGTTCTTCCCGGCATGCCTCAACGCAGCGCTGAGCAATGTCGAAATAGGATTCCAGAAGGCAGTGCCACACGTGCTGACCTTCGTTGTCTCCCGCGTGCAGCGGGGCACCGAAGGGGCCCGACTGCTTCGCAAAGGGTTGGATCAAATCCCAGAGCGCCCATTCCATGTCGCCCAGCAGCTCCTCGGACGACAGCCTCGATTTGAAGATGTCAGCGGTGGGACCGAATGCTTCGCGGAGAAACGAGCGAGCGTCGCGCTTGACCAGCTCACCCCACCCCCACTCGCCCCACACAGAATGAATGGCGCACGCGCCGTCTCCAGCCGTAGGCATCGTTTCCATCATCACCCCCTGCAAGTCTCGCACCGCTCGAGGCAAGGGCGCGTGAACCTCACGTAAGTCCACGACTGGCATCTCCGTGAACTCTGCCGCACGCCCTCAGATGTTGGAAAGAAGAGCGTCCGTCAGAGCTAAGCTCACTGCACAAATGGTACGCGGAGCTAACAGTAAGCCAAGAATGGCTTGGGTCAACTTGCCTTGGGCCACAATGGCTACGGAAAATCGCTAGGGAATCGTAACCCCTTCGACCCTCCGATGGTAAAACCCTTGTGGACCCTAGCCTTTGTCACACTCCCTTGTGAACCCGAGTCCCTTGCCACGACTCCCAGGAACCAGCAATAGTGAAATCCCCAGAGCCAGCACGATCAGTAAACCCGATAGGAAGCCGGAAAAACCCAGGAGAACCAGGCACCAGAAAAGGCGAGATCGGAGGAACCAGCAAAGGCGAGATACCAGGACGAGGGGCCCGAACGACACACACCACGAGGAGCCCGAACGACTCACACACAAGAAGGGGCCCGAACGACTCACACCAGGACGAGGGGCTCGAACAACTCACACCACGACGAGCCCGAACGACTCACACACAAGGAGGAGCCCGAACGACTCACACGAGGACGAGGGGCCCGAACGACTCACACCACGAGGAGCCCGAACGACTCACACTCAAGGAGGGGCGCGAACGACTCACACCAGGACGAGAGGCCCGAACGACTCACGCCACGAGGGGCCCGAACGACTCACACACAAGGAGGGGCCCGAACGACTCACACCAGGACGAGAGGCCCGAACGACTCACGCCACGAGGGGCCCGAACGACTCACACACAAGGAGGGGCCCGAACGACTCACACCAGGACGACGGGCCCGAACGACTCGCACACAAGGAGGTGCCCGAACGACTCACATCAGGACGAGGGGCCCGAACGATTCACACCACGAGGAACCCGAACGACTCACACCACGGGGAGCCCGAACGACTCACACACAAGGAGGGGCCCGAACGACTCACACCAGGACGAGCGGCCCGAACGACTCACAGAAAACTCCCAGAAGCATGCGCAAACGAACGAACGGCTCGAACGACTCACCAAAAAAAACAGAAAACGAGCGGCCCAAACGACTCACAGAAAACCCCCCGAACGACTCACAGAAAACTCACGAGAACCACAGAAGACCCCCAGAAGTCCCCTGCTTGTGTGTGAGTCGTTCGGGCTCCTCGTGGCGTGAGTCGTTCGGGCCCCTCGTCCTGGTGTGAGTCGTTCGGGCCCTCCTTGTGTGTGAGTCGTTCGGGCCCCTCGTGGTGTGAGTCGTTCGGGCCCCTCGTCCTGGTGTGAGTCGTTCGGGCCCCTCCTTGTGTGTGAGTCGTTCGGGCTCCTCGTGGTGTGAGTCGTTCGGGCCCCTCGTCCTGGTGTGAGTCGTTCGGGCCCCTCCTTGTGTGTGAGTCGTTCGGGCTCCTCGTGGTGTGAGTCGTTCGGGCCCCTCGTCCTGGTGTGGGTCGTTCGGGCCCCTTCTTGTGGGTGAGTCGTTCGAGCTCCTCGTGGTGTGAGTCGTTCGGGCCTCTCGTCCTGTTGTGATTCGTTCGGGCCCCTCCTTGTGTGTGAGTCGTTCGGGCTCCTCGTGGTGTGAGTCGTTAGGGTCCCTTGTCCTGGTGTGAGTCGTTCGGGTTCTTCCTTGAGTGTGAGTCGTTCGGGCTCCTCGCGGTGTGAGTCGTTCGGGCCCCTCGTCCTCGTGTGAGTCGTTCGGGCTCCTCCTTGTGTGTGAGTCGTTCGGGCTCCTCGTGGTGTGAGTCGTTCGGGTCTTTCGTCCTGGTGTGCGTCGTTCGGGCCCCTCCTTGTGCGTGAATCTTTCGGGTTCCTCGAAGTGTGAGTCGTTCGGGCCCCTCGTCCTGGTGTGATTCGTTCGGGCCCCTCCTTGTGTGTAATCGTTCGGGCTCCTCGTGGTGTGAGTCGTTCGGGCCCCTCGTCCTGGTGTGAGTCGTTCGGGCCCCCCCTCGTGTGCGAGTCGTTCGGGCTCTTCGTGGTGTGAGTCGTTCGAGCCCCTCGTCCTGGTGTGAGTCGTTCGGGCCCCTCCTTGAGTGTGAGTCGTTCGGGTTCCTCGTGGTGTGAGTCGTTCGGGCCCCTCGTCCTGGTGCGAATCGTTCGGGCCCCTCCCTGTGTGTGAGTCGTGCGGGCTCCTCGTGGTGCGAGTCGTTCTGGCCCCTCGTCCTGGTGTGAGTCGTTCGGGCTCCTCCTTGTGTGTGAGTCGTTCGGGTTCCTCGTGGTGTGAGTCCTTCGGGCCCCTCGTCCTGGTGTGAGTCGTTCGGGCCCCTCCTTGTGTGAGACTCGTTCGGGCTCCTCGTGGTGTGAGTCGTTCGGGCCCCTCGTCCGGGTGTGAGTCGTTCGGGCCCCTCCTGGTGTGTGAGTCGTTCGGGCTCCTCGTGGTGCGAGTCGTTCGGGCCCCTCGTCCTGGTGTGAGTCGTTCGGGCCCCTCCTTGTGCGTGAATCGTTCGGGCTCCTCGTGGTGTGAGTCGTTCGGGCCCCTCGTCCTGGTGTGAGTCGTTCGGGCCCCTCCTTGTGTGTGAGTCGTTCGGGCTCCTCGCGGTGCGAGTCGTTCGGGCCCCTCGTCCTCGCGTGAGTCGTTCGGGACCCAGACGCATACAAAAAGAGAGAACCATACGTCCCAAATTCGACAACATTTCCCCTTTTGTATACACTGACAAAAAAAACAACCCCCAGGGAAACCCTGCAGAACCCAACTACGCGCGTGCGCTCCACAACGCCCGATTGAAGCCACTGGCTCCCCCTTTAACCATCTCGTCTACCCCATGCGCCTCTTGTCCACCGGCACGGCACGGCGGCGGGGTGGGCCGGAGGCCAATAGGATACTCCCACGGGTGGTGGGCGGAGACGCCAAAGGCTTCGAAAACCGCGAGGGAGGGGGGAGGATAAGGGAGAAGAAACGGACTGAGAGGGAGGGCTCGGAGGCCCTTGGAAGGGGGGGTGTGCCCATCCGAGGGAACGGTGCACCCCCCCCTCCCCGTCGTGAAAACGAGGCACCAGCCGTGGCAACGACCCCCCCCCTATCCCCCCCCGCGACCTGAGTAGACCACCCAGGCCAGCGGGGGACGTCATAGGGGGCGGGGGTTCTGACTTCGATGAAAGAAGGAGGAGGAAAGCGGGAGGCAAAGATCAGGCAGACGAAAGCCCTTTTAGGCTTTACCCGGCGTGTGGAAATGCCGTTTTTGGCTTCTGCGGGGACTAACCCGCGCGGTCGCCCGCAGGCGACAGGGCGCCCAGGCCCTCTCCGCGCGCGCGCAGGCGCGTGGCAAACTACATGCGCACGATCGCCCGTGGAATCGAATGGAACCGTCCGCGGCGAGTCGTCCGCGGCGACTCAGGACCACGCCGCCCTGGAAGAAGAGGCGCTACAAGGATTCATTCTGCGACGCTGGAGATCCTGATGCGACGAGGACGCCGCAGAGAAACATTCTGCGCGCGTACGCACGACCTGGAACGACAAGCACAATACGAGAACAAATTCGGTGACGCTGGAGTCCCCGACGAGACGAAGAGGCTGCAGAGACACGTCTCAAGGCGCAGCAACACCGAAGTGACGCAAACGCACCCCGCGACACGACAAGGACGCTGCAAGAAGAAACTCGGCGACGCAGGAGTGCGCGGAAGCTACAGAGGCATGGAAAGGAGGCCACGAGGAAACACTACAGAGCATTCGAAGCGTCTCGACGACGAGGAAGCTACAGAGGCATCTTCTATGACACTGGAGCTCCACCGGACAAGTGCGCACTGAAACCCCGAAAAACGAAATCCCACCAGCCCTTTGAGCGTGAGTGGTTCAGGGAGTCCGCTCTGTTCTCAACCCCCCTTCTTCCCCTTCGGCGAGGGGTTGACCCCTCCCCCTACCCCCTCCCCCTGGACCTGGAAGGGGCCTTCCGCGGATCGTCAGAGGGTCCTTCGTCTATCCCTGGGAGAGCTAAAATTCGACACCCCTCACGACGATCGTGGCCCCGACGGGGGTACTGACAGAAATCCCACCAGCCCTTTGGGCGCGAGTGGTTTAGAGAGCCCGCTCTGTCCTCAACCCCTCTTCTTCCCCTTCGGAGAGGGGTTTACTTCTCCCCCTACCCCCTCCCCCTGGGCCTGGAGAGGGAGCCCCGCGGGTCGTCAGGGAGCCCCGCGGGTCGTCGTCGGCAGCGGCTGGGCCCGCGACGGAGGCCGCGGAGGCCGAGGAGGCGGAGGAGGAGGCGAGCGCTGGGGCGAGGAGGCGGAGGGCGGCAGCGCGGGGGCCCCGCCGCCCTTTGGCTAGGAGGGGCTCGGGGAGGCACGCCAGAGCGGGCCCCGAGTGAGGGTGGGGCTAGAACGCCCGCGACTCTCGGGGCGGCCGGGTGGGGCCCGCAGCGCAGCCGCGCCAGGAGCAGACGAGGCGCCGCGGCCGGCGGAGCCCCGCTGCGAGGGGGCGGAGGCGGAGGCGGCGGGCTGCGGCTGGCTGGGGCCCGCCAGGGGCCGGCCGAGGCGCGAGGGGGGCGGCGCGCTGGCTGGCGGAGGCGGGGGGCGCCGAGGCGGGGCCGGGCTCGGCCGCCCGCCGGCCGGCGGGGCGGACGGGGAGGGCGGCGGCGGCGGCGGGGGGCGGCGGGCCTGAGGCCTAGGCCGACGGCGGCGGGCGGCGGGCCACTGCAGGGGCCCCGCGCGGCGGCCTCGGCTTGGCGTGAGCCCGCGCAAGGAAGGAGGGGGAAAAGAAGAAAAAAACAAAAAAAAAAAAAAAAAACAAAAAAAAAAAACCTTGGAGCAACACCCCTTCACGAGAATTCTGCCCCCGACGGGGGGGGCGAGAAAAAACCAAAACCTCTCCTCTTCTTTGAACACAAAATCATTGATTTGGGGCCGCGCTCCTCTTCCTTCATAGCAAATCATTGATTATACGAAGGTTTTGGGCTCATTGTGTCCTTCTCAAGAGGCAGCGCTCATTTGCGCTTCTGAAGAGATCGCCAGAGGCCCCAAGATGGCCCCAAGAGGCCCCCAGGAGGCACCCAAGAGGCCTCCAAGAGGCCCCCAAGAGGCACCCAAGAGGCCCCAAGAGGCCCCCAAGAGGCCCCCAAGAGGCCCCCAAGAGGCTCCAAGAGGCCCCCAAGAGGCCCCCAAGAGGCCCCCAAGAAGCCCCCAAGAGGCCCCAAGAGGCTCCAAGAGGCCCCCAAGAGGCCCCACGAGGAGCCCGAACGACTCACACCAGGACGAGGGGCCCGAACGACTCACACCACGAAGAGCCCGAACGACTCACACCACAAGGAGGGGCCCGAACGACTCACACCAGGACGAGCCGCCCGAACGACTCACACCATGAGGAGCCCGAACGACTCACACCACGACGCGGGCCTCGAACGACTCACACCACGCGGAGCCCGAACTAGTCACACCAGGAGGACGGGCAGCGCTCATACAAGCCCCCCACGATGGCCCCCAGGGGCCCACCAGATGGCCCCTAGAGTTCCCCAGATGGCCCACAAGAGGTCACCAGGAGGCACCACGAGGCCTCATGTTTCGCAAGAGTTGCTGTTTTGAGATGGGCTGGCGGGATCCCTGGGCGCTTCTGGAGACTACCCCACCCGAGGGTGCAGGTGCTCACGCTGCCGAGCCGCGGCCGGCCCGCCAAGTGAGGAGGAGGCGGACCCTTACGCAGGAGGGCCCCTTGAGCAGCCAGGAGGGCCCGCGCCGCACGCCATCGCAGTCTGCCCGCGACACTTCCAACCCCTGCGGTGGCGGCACTCTCGCGGGCCCAGCGGGCTGGCGGGCAGCTGGGAATGCCGCGCCTGCGACGTGGCCCCCTTGGGTAGCGACGTCTCGCCGCCGCAGGGCGCGAGACCGCCGCGCTGCCCCTGCGGACGGCCAGGGCCAATCGAGTGGGTCGCCAGGGCCGCCAGGGCCACAGGAGGGTCGTGGAGATGGCACGGGGCCTGGCTCTGCGAGGGCTGCGCCGCCACGCCGCTTCCGGAGCCAGCGGCCGCCGCCCCTCCGTCGCCGCCCGCGACAACAGCAGACGCAGGAGACCCTCGACTGGCGCGCCCCGAACAGGCGCCCACCGCCGGATGGCCTCCCCTGGCGGGCCCACTACGAGAACGAACCAACTCACGCGTGCACGTGCCCTCGCTATTAGCAGCGGCGGGGCTGCTTGACCAGCAGGAGGCGGCGGGATGGAGCACGCACCCGCTCACGCACGACTGGTGGCAGCCGACAGTGGAGGCCTTGCAGCAAGCGGACCCCGTGCCAGCCGAGACCTTCGCCCAAGGGCTGGAGTTCGCAGGGGCCAGCCCAGGGGCGATATATGCCGTGATCGCCGCTGGGGGCGGAGCACGCCCTGGACACGTGCACCTGCCGCCTGCGGTCAGAGCGCTGGCGGACAGCGCTGGCTACATCGACAACCTCGCCCAGGACCTCTTGCTCGAGCTCTTCGGGGGGGTCGTGCTGGCGCGGGGGGTCGACCGGCGCGCAGACGAGCTCCGCGACCCGGCCAGGTGGGCCGCAGCCGCGCCACGCCCGCCGAGGCCGCCACCAGCGGCGCCAGCAGGACATCAGCCCAGCGACGACGCCAGCGAGGGGGGCCCAGGAGAAGGCAGAGGCCGAGGAGGCAGAGGAGGAAGAGGCGCCAGAGGAAGCAGAGGGCGAGGCGCTAGAGGGGGCCGAAGAGGAAGAGGCACCAGAGGAGGGGGAGGAGGGGGAGGAGGCAGCTCGAGCAGCAGCACCGCCAGCGAGAGCGAGGAGGACACTGAGGACAGCGCCTCCAGCAACTCTGGCCCCGCGCTGCCCGCGCCGCTGGCCCAGCCCCGCCGAGACGGGGGCGCGGGACGAGCTGCTCCTCCCCGGGCGCCCCTGGGGCGCCGCCCCGCCCACGCCCGCGCTCGCTTGACGGCGGCAGAGAGGGAAGCGCTGGACGCGACAGACGTAGCATCTGCGCTCCGGGCCCGCGTGCCAACCCTCCAACGGGCGCCAGCGTTCGCGCGGGGGCCGCTCCGCAACGCCTTGCGCAAAGCTTTGGAGCTGATCCGAGAGGGCGAAGCAGACGAGACAGGAGCAGCGAGAGGGTGGAAGCTGTTCCTCCTGCTCCCACGACTGCTCTTGAGGAGAGAGGCGGGGCAGCAAAGGATCCCCAAGGAGCAACTCCTGGAGAGGTTCACCCGCTTCGAGGCTGGAGACTGGGCGCAGCTTCTGACGGAAGCACAGCCGGGCCCGCCGCGCAGGCCGCCCGAGCGAGACGCGAACGGGCAGAGCAGGGCGCCCGAGGCACGACGGGGCCGGGCGCCAGACGAAAACGAGGAGCTCCGCAGCCGCTGCGAGAGGGCCCGCGAGCTGATCCGCCTCGGCGAGGTCTCGGCGGCGCGGCAAGCGCTGACAGCGAGCGCGGTGGCACCAGGCACACAGGCCACTCTGGACGAACTCCGGGACCCGGCACGCCGCCTGCAGCAGCCGAGAGAGCAGCTCAGCGAGCGAGCCGCCCGCGCGCCGCCGCAAGGCCTCGCCAGCCTGGAACCAGACCGCCTCCTCACGAACGTGCGCAGGAGTCGCCGGGGCGCTGCGCCGGGCCCCTCAGGGATGACGGGAGAACACTTGCAGACGCTGCTGGACGACGAGCACTGCTGCGACCTCCTGCACCACGCTGCCACGCTCCTTGCGAGGGCGGAAATCCCTGGCCCCGTGGCAGAGGCCCTCCGGCTCGGCCGCCTCACGGCGCTGCGCAAGAGCAACGGGAGGGCGCGAGGCATTGTGACCGGCGACGTCTTCAGGCGGTTGGTTGCCCGCACGCTGGCGCAGCAAGTGGGCGAAGAGGTCGAGCAGGCGACTGCCCCCTTCCAGTTCGCACTCTCGACCCGAGCAGGCACGGAATGCGTGGCGCACCTCGTGCAGACTCTCACCCAGGGTGACCCGGCGGCCACGGTGGTTTCCATAGACGGAATCGGGGCATTCGACCTCATGTCCAGAAACTCGATGCTCGAAGGATTAGCAAACCTGGGCAGGGGTAGCGCACTGCTTCCCTTCTGCCGCCTCTTCTACGGGGAAAGATCGCAGTACTGGTGGCACGACGACGCGGGACAAGGGCACGCGATCGACCAGGCGGAAGGAGGAGAGCAAGGAGACCCGCCCATGCCAGCCCTGTTTGCCTTGGGACAACACCCCGCCCTGCAACAGGTCCAAGGCATACTCCAGCCTGGGGAGCGCATCTTCGTCTTCCTTGACGACGTGTACTTGGTCACCACGCCAGACAGAGCGAGGTTCCTCTTCAACGCCGTGCGGGGCGCCCTCCAAGCGCACTGCGGCATCAGCGTGAACATGGGGAAGACGCGAGTCTGGAACAGGGGAGGGCAGGAGCCACTTGGCATCCGAGAGCTGGGCTCAGCAGCAGACCGGGTGTGGGTAGGAGGAGCAAACACCCCGCCGGAAGCCCAGGGCTTGGTCGTTCTGGGGGCCCCGATAGGCCACGGAGCTTTCGTCGCCCAACACCTGGAGGCCATCCTGGAAGAACACCGCCGCTTGCTCGCGAGGATACCACACGTCGGGGACCTGCAATCCTCGTGGCTCCTGCTCAGCATGTGCGCCAACCCCCGGGCCAACTTCTTCCTGAGGGCGCTGGCTCCCGAGGACACGGCCGCCTTCGCCGCAGCGCACGACGACAACCTGGCCAACGCGCTCGCCGACTTGCTGGAACTCCCGCAAGAAGCTGTCGCAGAAGGCACGTCAGCGCGCCAACGCTGCCAACTGCCGCTTTGCATGGGGGGGCTCGGCCTGCGAAGCGCGTCCAGGACGGCGCCGGCGGCCTGGTGGGCTTCCTGGGCAGACTGCGCGCAGATGCTCCGCGAACGCTGCCCCGAGCTCACAAACCAGATCTGCGCTGCACAGAGCGAGCTGGACCGGGGCCCGCTGCCGGCCGCTCCCGGGTGCTTACAACAAGCCAGCAGGGCAAAGGAGCACCTCTCGGCGCACGGCTTCGCCGCGCCCAACTGGCACGACCTTGCGCAGGGCGCCCGGCCACCGCCGACGCACGAACGGGAGCACGGCGAATGGGCGCACGGCTGGCAGTTCTGGGCCGCCAGAGTCTTGGAGAACACAGCCCGACAGCAGCTCCTCAACGCCTCCACGCCTCCGGACCGCGCCCTCCTCCGGTCACAGAGCGGGCCGTGCGCGGGACGAGCCTTCACCGCGCTGCCCACGACGGGGGACTTCCACATCCCGCCGGCAGAATTTTTTTTTTTTTTTGTTCCTCTCCCAGTCCCAGTCCCAGTCCCTGGCCGAGTCCGCAGCGAAAGGGGCCGCTGCACCTGGCTCCCTCCGGCTGGCCCCCTGGCTGGGCTGCCGACGCCCGCGGTCGCCTTAGGCGGCCCGGCGGGCCCGCCGGCCACCGCGCGGTCTTCGCGCCGCCAGCCGCCGCCGCCCGCCGCCCGCCCGGCCGAGCCGCCCTGTGTGCCTCGGCCTCGAGGCCGCGGGAGCGCTCGAGGCCCTGGCCCGGCCGGCTCCGCTCCGTGCCCGGGCAAGGCCGCCCGCGAAGGCCGCCAGAGCTGCCCCAGCCCGGCGGCCCGCGGCCGCAGCGCCCGCCGGCCCTGCCCGCCTGCCGTAACCCACGACGTCGGGTCCCAGCTTCGCGTCCAGCATCGCGCTGAGCAGCACGAATGCCTGTTGCCACTGCCCCCTCTTCTCGCCCGCGCTGATCCCAGCATTGTAGCTGATGACACTTGGCGCCACCTTCGCCTCCCACGTCTCGCTGGGCAGCGAGAGAGCCCGCTGCCACTGCTCGCCGTTCGTGCACGCGTTGATCCCAGAGCTGTAGCTGATGACACTTGGCTCCACCTTCGCCTCCCGCATCTCGCTGAGCAGTGGGAGAGCCTGCTGCCACTGCTCGCCGTTCGTACACGCTCTGATCCCAGGGCTGATCCCAGAGTTGTAGCTGATGGCATCTGGCTCCGACCTCACTTCCCACATCTCGCAGAACAGCGATAGAGCCCGCTGCCACTGCTCGCCTTTCGTGCACGCGCTGATCCCAGAGCTGTAGCTGATGACATTCGGCTCCGATCTCACTTCCCACATCCCGCTGAGCAGTGATAGAGCCCGCTGCCACTGCTCGTCGTTCGCGCACGCGCTGATCCCAGAGCTATAGCTGATGGCATCTGGCTCCACCTTCGCCTCCCACATCTCGCTGAGCAGCGAGAGAGCCCGCTGCCACTGCTCGCCGTTCGTCCACGCGCTGATCCCAGAGCTGTAGCTGATGACGCTTGGCTCCACCTTCGCCTCCCGCATCTCGCTGAGCAGTGGGAGAGCCTGCTGCCACTGCTCGCCGTTCGTACACGCTCTGATCCCAGGGCTGATCCCAGGGTTGTAGCTGATGGCATCTGGCTCCGATCTCACTTCCCACATCTCGCAGAGCAGCGATAGAGCCCGCTGCCACTGCTCGCCTTTCGTGCACGCGCTGATCCCAGAGCTGTAGCTGATGACATTCGGCTCCGATCTCACTTCCCACATCCCGCTGAGCAGTGATAGAGCCCGCTGCCACTGCTTGTCTTTCGCGCACGCGCTGATCCCAGAGCTATAGCTGATGGCATCTGGCTCCACCTTCGCCACCCACATCTCGCTGGGCAGTGAGAGAGCCCGCTGCCACTGCTCGCCTCTCGCGCATGCGCTGATCCCAGAGCTGTAGCTGATGACACTTGGCTCCACCTTCGGCTCCCACATCTCGCTGAGCAGCGGGAGAGCCTGCTGCCACTGCTCGCTGTTCGCGCACGCGCTGATCCCAGAGTTGTAGCTGATGGCATCTGGCTCCAACCTCACTTCCCCAATCTCGCAGAGCAGCGATAGAGCCCGCTGCCACTGCTCGCCTTTCGTGCATGCGCTGATCCCAGAGCTGTAGCTGATGACGCTTGGCTCCACCTTCGCCTCCCGCATCTCGCTGAGCAGCGGGAGAGCCTGCTGCCACTGCTCGCCGTTCGTACACGCTCTGATCCCAGGGCTGATCCCAGAGTTGTAGCTGATGGCATCTGGCTCCGACCTCACTTCCCACATCTCGCAGAACAGCGATAGAGCCCGCTGCCACTGCTCGCCTTTCGCGCACGCGCTGATCCCAGAGCTGTAGCTGATGACATTCGGCTCCGATCTCACTTCCCGCATCCCGCTGAGCAGTGATAGAGCCCGCTGCCGCTGCTCTTCTTTCGCGCACGCGCTGATCCCAGAGCTATAGCTGATGGCATCTGGCTCCACCTTCGCCTCCCCCATCTCGCTGGGCATTGAGAGAGCCCGCTGCCACTGCTCGCCTCTCGCGCATGCGCTGATCCCAGAACTGTAGCTGATGACACTTGGCTCCACCTTCGCCTCCCACATCTCGCTGAGCAGTGGGAGAGCCTGCTGCCACTGCTCGCCGTTCGCGCACGCGCTGATCCCAGAGTTGTAGCTGATGGCATCTGGCTCTAACCTCACTTCCCAAATCTCGAGAGCAGCGATAGAGCCCGCTGCCACTGCTCGCCTCGTGCACGCGCTGATCCCAGAGCTGTAGCTGATGACGCTTGGCTCCACTTTCGCCTCCCAAATCTCGCAGAGCAGCGATTGAGCCCGCTGCCACTGCTCGCCGTTCGTACACGCGCTGATCCCAGGGCTGATCCCAGAGTTGTAGCTGATGGCATCTGGCTCCAACCTCACTTCCCAATCTCGCAGAGCAGCGATAGAGCCCGCTGCCACTGCTCGCCTTTCGCGCACGCGCTGATCCCAGAGCTGTAGCTGATGACGCTTGGCTCCACCTTCGCGTCCCACATCTCGCTGAGCAGTGGGAGAGCCTGCTGCCACTGCTCGCCGTTCGCATACGCGCTGATCCCAGGGCTGTATCTGATGTCATTCGGCTCCAACCTCACTTCCCACATCCCGCTGAGCAGTAGTAGAGCCCGCTGCCACTGCTCGTCTTTCGCGCAGGTGCTGATCCCAAAGCTATAGCTGATGTCACTTGGCTCCACCTTCGCCTCCCGCATCTCGCTGGGCAGTGAGAGAGCCCGCTGCCACTGCTCGCCTCTCGCGCGTGCGCTGATCCCAGAGCTGTAGCTGATGACGCTTGGCTCCGCCATCACCTCCCGTCTTCCTCCTCCTCCACGTCCTGACTCCCTGGCTCGCTGCCACTGCCTGCTGACGTCGAGCGCGGTTATCTTCGCCTCCTCCTCCTCCTCGACCTGGTCCTGCTCGTCCGCTGCCTTCTCCTCCTCTTCTATTTCCTCCTCTGCCGCCTCGCTCTCCTCCCTGGCTCGCTGCCACTGCCGCTGCCCATTTTTCGCACGTGCGCTGGCCCCAGCGATGCAACTGATGACGTTGGGCCCCAGTTTGGGAATCAGCAGCGCCACAGCCTGCTGCCACTGCTCCCTTGTCTCGCAGGCGCGGCTGGGTCTGGACTCCAGGCGGGGGTGGGGCGGGCGGGGGACGGAGGACGAGGGGGCGAGGGGCACGAGCCGGGCCCGAACGGCGAGGGGCGAACGACGCGGTGGCAGGGGGCGAACGAGACGGGACCGAGACGAGGGGACAGAGGCCGAGGGAAAGGCGAGGGGAAGGGGCGGTGGGCGTCGTCGGTGCGCGCCGTCGTGCAGGTGCGCGTCGTTGCTGCTGGTCGTTGCAGGTGGTGCCCGTCGTTGCTGGGGGTCGTGTTGCCGGTCGGAATTGGTGCTGGTCGCAGTCGTGGTGGTGCTGCTGCTGGTCGTGGTCGTGTTGGTGGTGCTGCTGCTGGTTGCGGTCGTGGTAGTGCTGCTGCTGGTCGCAGTCGTGGTGCTGCGGTCGTAGTCGTGGTGGCGTTGGTGGTCGCAGTCGTGGTGGTGCTGGTTGTGCTGGTGGTGCTGGTCTTGGTGGTGGTGCTGCTGCTGCTGGTCGCAGTCGTGGTGGTGCTGCTGCTGGTCGCAGTCGTGGTGTTGCTGGTCGCAGTTTTGGTGCTGCTGGTCGCAGTCGTGGTGGTGCTGCGGGTTGCAGTCGTGGTGGTGGTGCTGGTAGTGGTTCTGCGGCTGGTCGCAGTCGTGGCGCTGCAGGTCGCAGTCGTGGGGCTGCTGGTCGCAGTCGTGTTGGTGCTGCTGGTCGCGGTTGTGGTGGTGCTGCTTGTCGTGGTGGTGCTAGTCGTAGTAGTGGTGGTGCTGGTTGTGCTGGTGGTGCTGGTGCTGCTGTTGGCCATGGTGGTGGAGCTGCTGGTGGCAGTCGTGGTCGTGCTGCTGCTGGTCGTGGTCGTGGTGTTGCTGGTGGCAGTCGTAGTGCTGCTGGTAGTAGTCGTGGTGGTGCTGCTGGTCGCGGTCGAGGTGGGTGGTGCTGCTGCTGGTCGCGGTCGTGGTGGTGCTGGTTGTAGTCGTGGTGGTGCTGCTGGTCGCAGTCGTGGTATTGCTGGTTGTGCTGGTGGTGCTCGTCGTGGTGGTGCTGCTGGTCGCTGTCTCGGTGCTGCTGCTCCCGGTTGCGGTCGTGGCGCTGCTGGTCGCAGTCGTGGTGCTGCTGGTCGTGGTCGTGGTGGTGCTGCGGGTCGCGGTCGTAGTGGTGGTACTGCTGGTCGTTGTCGTGGTGGTGCTGCTGCTGGTCGCAGTCGTGGTGCTGCTGGTCGCAGTCGTGGCGCTGTTGGTCACAGTCGTGGGGCTGCTGGTCGCCGTCGTGTTGGTGCTGGTGGTGCTGCTGGTCGTGGTGGTGCTGCTGGTCTCTGTGGTGCTGCTGCTGGTCGCAGTCGTGGTGGTGCTGGTCGTAGTGGTGGTGCTGCTGGTCGCAGTCGTGGTAGTGGTAGTGCTGGTTGTGCTGGTGGCTGGTCGTGGTGCTGCTGGTCGCGCAGCAGGTCGCTGTCGTGGTGCTGCTGGTCGTGGTCGTGGTCGTGGTGGTGCTGCGGGTCGCAGTCGTGGTGGTGGTGCTGCTTGTCGCAGTCGTGGTGGTGCTGCTGCTGGTCGCAGTCGTGGTGCTGCTGGTCGCAGCCTTGGTGCTCCTGGTCGTGGTCGTGGTGCTGCTGGTCGCCGTCGTGGTGGTGCTAGTAGTGCTGCTGGTCGTGGTGGTGGTGCTGCTGGTCGTTGTGGCGCTGCTGCTGGTTGCAGTCGTAGTGGTGCTGGTCGTAGTCGTGGTGGTGCTGCTGGTCGCAGTCGTGGTGGTGCTGCTTGTGCTAGTGGTGCTGGTGGTGCTGCTGGTCGTGGTGGTGGTGGTGCTGCTGGTCGTAGTCGTGGTGATGCTGCTGGTCGCAGGCGTCGTGCTGCTGGTCGCAGCCGTGGTGCTCCTGGTCGTGGTCGTGGTGGTGCTGCGGGTCGCTGTCGTGGTGGTGGTGCTGCTGGTCGCAGTCGTGGCGCTGCTGGTCGCGGTCGTGGGGCTGCTGGTCGCCGTCGTGGTGGTGCTGGTGGTGCTACTGGTCGTGGTGGTGCTGCTGCTGGTTGCAGTCGTGGCGGTGCTGGTCGTAGTCGTGGTGGTGCTGCTGGTCGCAGTCGTGGTGGTGCTGCTTGTGCTAGTGGTGCTGGTGGTGCTGCTGGTCGTGGTGGTCGTGGTGCTGCTGGTCGTGGTCGTGGTGGTGCTGCGGGTCGCTGTCGTGGTGGTGGTGCTGCTGGTCGCAGTCGTGGTGGTGCTGCTTCTGGTCGCAGTCGTGGTGCTGCTGGTCGCAGTCGTGGTGCTGCTGGTCGCAGTCGTGGGGCTGCTGGTCGCCGTCGTAGTGGTGCTGGTGGTGCTGCTGGTCGTGGTGGTGGTGCTGCTGGTCGTTGTGGTGCTGCTGCTGGTTGCAGTCGTGGCGGTGCTGGTCGTAGTCGTGGTTGTGCTGCTGGTCGCAGTCGTGGTGGTGCTGCTTGTGCTGGTGGTGCTGGTGGTGCTGCTGGTCGTGGTGGTGGTGGTGCTGCTACTGGTCGTAGTCGTGGTGGGTGCTGCTGGTGCGCAGTCGTGGTCGTGGTGGTGCTGCGGGTCGCTGTCGCTGGTGTCGTGGTGGTGCTGCTTGTGCTGGTGGTGCTGGTGGTGCTGCTGGTCGTTGTCGTGGCGGTGCTGGTCGTAGTGGTGGTGGTGCTGCTGGTCGCAGTCGTGGTAGTGCTGGTTGTGCTGGTGGTGCTGGTCGTGGTGGTGCTGCTGGTCGCTGTCTCGGTGCTGCTGCTCCCGGTTGCAGTCGTGGTGTTGCTGGTCGCTGTCGTGGTGCTGCTGGTCGTGGTCGTGGTCGTGGTGGTGCTGCGGGTCGCTGTCGTAGTGGTGGTGCTGCTGGTCGCAGTCGTGGTGGTGCTGCTGCTGGTCGCAGTCGTGGTGCTGCTGGTCGCAGTCGTGGCGCTGCTGGTCGCAGTCGTGGGGCTGCTGGTCGCCGTCGTGGTGGTGCTGGTGGTTCTACTGGTAATGGTGGTGGTGCTGCTGGTCGTTGTGGTGCTGCTGCTGGTTGCAGTCGTGGTGGTGCTGGTCGTAGTCGTGGTGGTGCTGCTGGTCGCAGTCGTGGTGGTGCTGCTTGTGCTGGTGGTGCTGGTGGTGCTGCTGGTCGTGGTGGTGGTGGTGCTGCTGGTCGTAGTCGTGGTGGTGCTGCTGCTGGTCGCAGTCGTGGTGCTGCTGGTCGCAGTCGTGGTGCTCCTGGTCGTGGTCGTGGTGGTGCTGCGGGTCGCTCTCGTGGTGGTGGTGTTGGTGGTGGTTCTGCTGCGGGTCGCAGTCGAAGCGATGGTGCTGCTGGTCGCCGTTGTGGTGGTGGTGGTACTGCTAACCTCCTCGTGGTGCCCGCTGCCGTGTCGGGGGTGCTCCCGGCGCTCGTCGGAGCCCCCCGGGGCGGCCGTGCTGGCCGCGGCGCCAAGCATCAGGGGCGTGCTGGCAGGCGGCTAGCGGGTGGGCCGGCGGAGTCTGCGAGCAGCACTTCGGCCAGGTCTGGGTCGTCCTCCCCGGCGGCTCCCCCCAAGGCTAGGTAGCCGTCGCCCGTCAGGGTGGCCATGAGCGAGTCCTGGGCCGCGACGCTCAGGAACCCCCACCAGCGGTTGGTGTACGCGAGCTCCGCGGAGCGGCGGAGGAGGGCCGGCGCGGCCCGCGCCTTCTGCTTGGCAAGCAGGCGTACCAGCTGGAGGGAATCGCGGCCCCACCTGCCTCCGACCTCGCAGGAGAGGACCATGAGGCGGCCTGAATGGCCGGTCGTGAGTTCGTGGTACCTGCGTCGTTTGCGCCTTTCGGCCCCAAGTAGCGCGGCGCCGTCGGTGTCGAAGGTGCGCGGCCGGTGCCAGCCGTCCCTGCGGAGGGGGGACACCATGGTGCTGTCGCAGCACAGCGGGACGCCGTTCGGCGAGATGCCGTAGACGACTAGGTCTAATTGTCTGCGGTCCAGCGGGTTGTGGACAACGGCGTTAGTGTCCCGCAGCAGCTGTTGGGGGACAACTCTCCCTCCTGCTTCTCTGGCGACCCTCGCCCAAGCTCGTTCGAGCGGTTTCGCGCGTCTGGCGAGAAGCCCCGTGCGTGGGCACGCGGCTAGGTGGTCTCCCAGCGTGTCCAGCCGGGCCCGGCAGCCTGGGTGGCCGGCTGCCCCGCAGGTGTGCGGGAGGAGCGGCAGCGGGAGCCTGAGGCGCCGGCGCAGGGCTGCCAGGAACCGCGCGGGCTTGAACACGTGCCCCTCGGTGGTGGGTAAGGTGTGAAGCCAGTAGGCGGCCCTCGGTCCTGAGCCTGACCTTAGCATGGCCTGGTTGGCCCTGGTGAGGCTGGGCATGAACACGTTGTCCCTGTAGTGTGTGTTGCGTGCGGAACAAGCGTGGAACTGCCAGCCGTGCTGCCATTCCCCCGGTTCGGCGGCCTCCGAGCGCGGCGGCGCTTCTGGGCGCAGCCCCTGGAGCAGGTCGGTCCAGGAAGGTCTCCGGAAGCCTTCGGTTTCGAGCAGCTGTGCGGCCGCGGCGGCTGCGGCAAGGTTGCCCCTACGGCCGGGCCTGGTGCCGTCGAGGAGGTCCCTGATCGCTGCAGCTTCAACGGGGCGCCGTTGGTGGAGCATGTGTAGGGCGTCTGCCCAAGCGCCCCAGTAGGCCGCTGGGGACGTGCGCGCGGCGCTTTGGAGCCCGAGTCCTCCGTGTCGTCCAGGCATTGCTGCCAGTGCGCGCGCCCGTCGCTCTTCGTCTTGCGACATTGCGGGGTCCCCGAGGAGGCGGCGCAGGGTGGCCCACATGTCGCCGTCGTGGCCTCTCGCGTATTCTGCGATTTCCTCTGGCGGCAGGGTTCGCAGCAGGTGGTTGGCCCGCGGGGAGGCGCAAAGGAGGAGGAGGAGCCAAGCGCACTGTAGGTCGGGCAGGTGCGCCAGTTCGTCCAGGAGTCTCCTCTCTTCCTGTAGTCTGCTCTCCAGGTGTGCGGCGACGAATTCTGGGGTGCCTAGGGGGGTGCCAAGGATCTTGATTCCTCGGTCGGGTGGTGCTCTGTCACCCCTCCAGACGTCTTGTCCCAGCTCGCCAATTCCGGGCGGCGCTGCGCCTCCGCCCCTGCTGTAGGCCCGGCACTTGCCAAGGTGGCAATCCACGTTTGCGTGGAGGTGAATTGCTCCGGTGGTGGTGTCGAAAGCGGCTCTGGCCCTGGCCCGGGTGGTCTTGATGTACACGTCGTCCAAGAAAGCGACTAGGAAGTCCCCTTGCTCTAGGGTCCTGGAGGCGCCCGCCAGCGCTCCGTGCAGGGCAAGAGCGAAGAGGGCTGGGGCCAGCGCGTCCCCTTGCTCCACTCCCTCTTCCTGGTGCACGTCGTGCACAGTCCCCATTTCGTCTTGCCAGAGGTAGGTGGAGTCTTGCCCGTACCACATCTTCACGAAGGGGATTAAGCCGGCCAGCTCTGGGCGAGCAAGGAGCTCCTGGAAGAAGGCCGACCTCGACACATGGTCGAAAGCCCCGACTCCATCGATGCTGACAATCACTGCGTCGTCGTCGTGGTCCAGCACTGACCTCAGCAGCATGGCGGCGCAGTCGGTTCCTGCCCGCGTCGTCAGGGCGAACTGGAAGGGCGCAGTTGCGGCCGCGAACTGCTCGGCGAACTGTTGAGCGAGCGCCCTGGTGACCAGTCGGCGGAAAACGTCGCCGGTGGCGATGCCCCGTACTCCGTTGTCTGGTTTCTGGAGCGCCGTCATCTTGCAGAGGGCTAGAGCGCGGGCAATCGGGGAGGGCACCCGCGCCTCCGCGAGGGCAGCGGCGGCGAATCCAAGCAGGTCCATGGACTCTTCGTGTTCCAGCAGCGGCTTGAGGTGCTCAACGCGGACCCCCGACGGTCCTGCTGCCGTGCCCTTCTTGGCGGACCGGAGGCAAGCGAGGAATTTGGTCTTGTCGAGTCTCGCTCTGTCGGTTGCGCGGTCGAGGTTGGCGGGTAGTCGGCGGCCCAGGGTAGGCGGTCGGCGGGCCGGGTCCCGCAGCCTGTTTAGTGTCTCCCCGTTGCCGGGCGCAATCGCCACCGCGGTCAAGACCTGTCTCCCCCGTGACAGGTTGCCGTTTCGGACGTGCGCGCAAGCCTGTTCTCTGCGTCTCTCCTGCTGTTGCTCCTCTGTGGCTGGCCTCGGCGCTGCGCGCGCGCCGGCCGTGGTGTTGGCCTCGTGTAGCAGGGCCAGCCAGTCGCCCTGGCGGAACCGTTGGGCGCGTTCCAAGAGCTCTTGTCGGCCCTCGGCGTCGGCGCCCTTGGGCTTGCTTAGCAGGAGCCTCGAGGCGAGGAGGAACAGTGTCCATCCTTGGTGGGTTGTTGCTTGGTTGCCCTGGTCGTGTCCTCGCTTGATCCTCTGCAGGGCCGTGGTGAACGCCATCCGGGTCTCCGCGCGCAGGAAACGCGGCACGTTCTGTAGTGTCGGCACGAATCTCCGTAGCTCTTGTTGGAGGTCGATGCCCCCGAGAGCTGCCCAGGACTCTTCGGTGGGTCCGTTGCTCGGGGCTGGGGCCTGCGCTGGTTCGGCCTCGTGGTCGGTCTCCTCAGTGCTGGAGTTGCTGCCGCCGTCGTTGGCGTCTCCCTCCTCCGCGCCCGTGTTTCCGTCGTCGCTGCCGCTGCTCGGGCCTCCTCCTCCCCCTTCTCCGCCGCCTCAGCCTCTTCTGACGCCTCTTCCTCGTTTGCTTTCTCTGGCGCCTCTTCCGTTTCTGTCTCCGGGGGCGCCTCTGCCCACCACGGCGGCAGGGCCGTTCGCGTGCTGGTCTCCAGGCAGCTCCGGCTCCTGGGGCGCCTCTGGCGGTGGGAGCGGCGGCGGAGGCGCCGCGTCTGCCCAGAAGCTTGGGTTGCGCAGCTCGTTTGTGCGTGCGTCAACTCCTCGTGCAAGCACGCCGCCGCCGAAGGCTTCGAGGAGGAGGTCTTGCACCAGCGGCTGTATGTAGCCGGTGCTGCTGTGCGCCACGGCCTGGACGACTGGCGCAAAGGATGCGTGCCCTGGGCGCTCTCCTCCGTCTGCAGCATGCACCGCTGGTACTTCCCCGGGCCGAGCGTCGGTGTACGCCAGCATTTGGACAAAGGGCCCTGTTAGTGCAGGTTCTGCAAGCCGCAACGTCTCTACCGTCGGCTGCCACCAGGCCTGTGTGAGGCGGTGCTCACTCCACTGCGCCCCTTCGCTTGGGTCTAAAAGCCCGGCGGCTGCTAGCAGCAGGGGCACGTGCACTGCCGAGTTGGTGCGTGCCTGGAGGGGCGCTTGCGGTGGGGCCCAGCCGGCGAAAGGGCTGTGTTGTGGCGGCCTCGCGGCGGCTCGCTCTGGCCCTGGCGGGGGGGCTGGTGGTGATGGCTCTGGACCTGGCGGGGCCGGTGGTGGGGCAGAAGGCACTTCTCTGGTCCATGCGTCTGGTTCGCACAAAGCGCACCTCCATTCGCCTTCGGCCGTGCCGGCTTCCGCGGTCCACGCGCCCTGCTCTAGGCACCTCGCGCACATCTGTTGGCCGCTCTGTGGCGCGATCGCGTCGACGGCGCAGCGCGCCCCGCAGCGTGGGCAAAGCCATGACTCAAGCCACTGCGTGATCATCCCGTTGGTGTCGCGTGCAGCGATCTCCGGGGACCATTCCACGCGGCGGTCTGGCACTTCGGAGAATTCGGGCGGTGGGCCGAGGCGTCGGCAGCAGAGCGCTCGGAGCAGCGGTGGCTCCCGTGGTGGTGGTTCTTCGCCTCGCGCGTAGCTTCGAAACCCACTGTAATCTGGGACGGCCTGGGCGCTGGCGTCGCGGGCCGGGGGCGGCGGTCGGTCTATGTCCACGCCCTGCGCGGCGCACCATGCCCGTAACTCGGCGGTGGTCGGGAGTCTGGCTCGGCACTGCGGGCAAGTGGTGGCTTCGCCAAGGTGGCGGGCCAAGTCGGCGCGGCAGCCCAAGTGGAAGTGGGCGCCACAGCATGCCTCCTGTGTTGGTGTGTCCCTGCCCGCCCCATGGTGCGGGGTCACTTCCTGGCAGACGACGCAGATGTTGGCGTCTTCTGCCGGCGCTGGTGATCGGTCTGGCTCCTCCCGCGCTGTTGCTGCCGCTTCTGCTGCCTCGCCCTGCCTGTCGCCGTGCGGGGCGAATAAGCCCGCAAAATTCCATCCGCCTTCTGGCGCCCTCCCGAAGACGGCGCCAAAGTGGTCCGGCACGGCTGGCGCGCCAAGCTGAAACCCTGCGGCTTGTAGCCGGAGCAGAGCCCGTGGTGGGGTCTCTTCCTGCGACGGGATTGGCGCCGCGCCGCCGGGTGCGTGCTCTGGCGACTCTGGTGGTGACGTCGTGCGTCTCGGGCGCGGTGTTCGGGGGCTGTCCCCGGGTGCGTCTGGAGGTCCTGGGTGGCTGGCCTCGCCCACTCGAACGCCTCGGTAACCCCATCGCGCGTCGCGGCGGCTTTTGGAGGGGTTGCGCTGGTGCTGCTGCTCGTGGTGGTGCACGTCGTGGTGGTCTTGGTCGCTGCGTTGTGCTGTGCGCTGGTGTTCTTGCGCGTGGTGCTGGTCGCAGTCGTGGGCGTTGTTGCCGCTGTGGTGCTCCTCGTCGCGCTGGTGTTGCTGCGCGTGGTGTGGGTGGTCGCGGTGGTCGCTCTGCTGGTGCAAGGTGCTTTCTGCTGCTTCTCCTGCTGCGGCCGCCCGTTTGCGCGCGGCTCTGGTGCGAGGGCTTGCCCTCGTCGCCTTTGCGCGCCAGGTAGAAGCGGTGGCTCCCGTTTCTGGGAGCTGCGGGGCTGCCGGTGTGAGCAAGGGTGGCGGGAGGGCATTGGCGGTAGCTGCAGTTCTGCGTTGCCCTTGTCGGCCCGGCGCGGGCAGGACGTGGTGGTAGCATCGTGGGCTGTCGCTGGACGGAAGTGGCATCCTCGTGTTGGCAACGCTCTGCGGTCCCCTTGCTGGCGTTGGCTCGGCAGCGTTCCTCTTCCGCTGGCGGGCGCGTTGGCGCGCGCTCGGCTGCAGGGTCGGGCTGTCCGTCTCCAGCGTCCCCACCCCGGCCTGCATCATGACGGCCGTTGCGCCCTCGTTTGCGTAGTCCGGTCTCGTGTTGGGTCCGAGGGGCGCGCGCAGGAGCTTTTGGATGCAGTCTCGCGTGCTTGGTGTGGATGAGTCGTGGTCGGTGGTGTTGTGAGCTTGGTAGTCAGGCTGCGTGGTGGTTCGCTCTTCGATTTTTACGCTGCCCCGCGTCGCGTGCCGCCTCAGGTAGAACCGGTCCTCGAGGTAGGTCTGTCGCCTGGAGAAAGATTCCTGCTGCCGCATGGTCTCGGCATGTTCGTGGTAGGCGTGTGCCTCTCTGTTCGCTCTCTCCCTCTTCTCGGTGCGGCGTCTGGAACGACGGTGGTTCCTCGTGGCGCACCGAGTGGGCAAAGGCGAATACCCAGCGCTGCGGTCGACCGGTGGGTCTGCGAGTCTGGGTCGGCTGTCTGTGTCTTCGGGCGGCGGGGCAGGTGTGAGGCTGTGCTCGCCTTGAGCCAGGTGGCGGAAGGGGTTCAAGCGGAGGGGGTCGGGGGCAAGTCGTGTCGTTGGGTGGTCAGTCGTAGTCGTGGTCGTGGTTGTCTTTGTCAGCTCGCGGCCTGGAAGGGCCCCTCTCCTGACCGAGTTTCTCGCTCCACGCCCGCCGTGGTGGCGAGGTCTCGGCGGGCTCGTCCTTCGCCTCCCGCCTCCCTGCGCACGTCTCCTTCGCCCAGCCAGCGCCCAGAGGCCCGGTGGCGGGCCTGGGTCCGGTGGGCGCCCCCCTTCGCCCGGAGCACCCCCCATGCTCCGAGCGTCGGCGCACGGGCCCCGTGGCCCCCTGGAGGGCGCCATGCCTGCACCCCGCGTGCGCCCCTCGCGCGCGCCGGCCGCTTGGCTTGGCTTGGCCTTGAGCCGAGCCGGTCCTTGAGCCATGCTGAGCAGGAGCCACGAGGATTGCAGGTCCCCGACGTGTGGTATCCTCGCGAGCAAGCGGCGGTGTTCTTCCAGGATGGCCTCCAGGTGTTGGGCGACGAAAGCTCCGTGGCCTATCGGGGCCCCCAGAACGACCAAGCCCTGGGCTTCCGGCGGTGTGTCTGCTCCTCCTACCCACACCCGGTCTGCTGCTGAGCCCAGCTCTCGGATGCCAAGTGGCTCCTGCCCTCCCCTGTTCCAGACTCGCGTCTTCCCCATGTTCACGCTGATGCCGCAGTGCGCTTGGAGGGCGTCCCGCACGGCGTTGAAGAGGAACCTCGCTCTGTCTGGCGTGGTGACCAAGTACACGTCGTCAAGGAAGGCGAAGATGCGCTCCCCGGGCCAGAGTATGCCTTGGACCTGTTGCAGGGCGGGGTGTTGTCCCAAGGCAAACAGGGCTGGCATGAGCGGGTCTCCTTGCTCTCCTCCTTCCGCCTGGTCGATCGCGTGCCCTTGTCCCGCGTCGTCGTGCCACCAGTACTGCGATCTTTCCCCGTAGAAGAGGCGGCAGAAGGGAAGCAGTGCGCTACCCCTGCCCAGGTTTGCTAATCCTTCGAGCATCGAGTTTCTGGACATGAGGTCGAATGCCCCGATTCCGTCTATGGAAACCACCGTGGCAGCCGGGTCACCCTGGGTGAGAGTCTGCACGAGGTGCGCCACGCATTCCGTGCCTGCTCGGGTCGAGAGTGCGAACTGGAAGGGGGCAGTCGCCTGCTCGACCTCTTCGCCCACTTGCTGCGCCAGCGTGCGGGCTACCAGCCGCCTGAAGACGTCGCCAGTCACGATGCCTCGCACCCTCCCGTTGCTCTTGCGCAGCGCCGTGAGGCGGCCGAGCCGGAGGGCCTCTGCCACGGGGCCAGGGATTTCCGCCCTCGCAAGGAGCGTGGCAGCGTGGTGCAGGAGGTCGCAGCAGTGCTCGTCGTCCAGCAGCGTCTGCAAGTGTTCTCCCGTCATCCCTGAGGGGCCCGGCGCAGCGCCCCGGCGACTCCTGCGCACGTTCGTGAGGAGGCGGTCTGGTTCCAGGCTGGCGAGGCCTTGCGGCGGCGCGCGGGCGGCTCGCTCGCTGAGCTGCTCTCTCGGCTGCTGCAGGCGGCGTGCCGGGTCCCGGAGTTCGTCCAGAGTGGCCTGTGTGCCTGGTGCCACCGCGCTCGCTGTCAGCGCTTGCCGCGCCGCCGAGACCTCGCCGAGGCGGATCAGCTCGCGGGCCCTCTCGCAGCGGCTGCGGAGCTCCTCGTTTTCGTCTGGCGCCCGGCCCCGTCGTGCCTCGGGCGCCCTGCTCTGCCCGTTCGCGTCTCGCTCGGGCGGCCTGCGCGGCGGGCCCGGCTGTGCTTCTGTCAGAAGCTGCGCCCAGTCTCCAGCCTCGAAGCGGGTGAACCTCTCCAGGAGTTGCTCCTTGGGGATCCTTTGCTGCCCCGCCTCTCTCCTCAAGAGCAGTCGTGGGAGCAGGAGGAACAGCTTCCACCCTCTCGCTGCTCCTGTCTCGTCTGCTTCGCCCTCTCGGATCAGCTCCAAAGCTTTGCGCAAGGCGTTGCGGAACGGCCCCCGCGCGAACGCCGGCGCCCGTTGGAGGGTTGGCACGCGGGCCCGGAGCACAGATGCTGCGTCTGTCGCGTCCAGCGCTTCCCTCTCTGCCGCCGTCAAGCGAGCGCGGGCGTGGGCGGGGCGGCGCCCCAGGGGCGCCCGGGGAGGAGCAGCTCGTCCCGCGCCCCCGTCTCGGCGGGGCTGGGCCAGCGGCGCGGGCAGCGCGGGGCCAGAGTTGCTGGAGGCGCTGTCCTCAGTGTCCTCCTCGCTCTCGCTGGCGGTGCTGCTGCTCGAGCTGCCTCCTCCCCCTCCTCCCCTTCCTCTGGTGCCTCTTCCTCTTCGGCCCCCCCTAGCGCCTCGCCCTCTGCTTTCTCTGGCGCCTCTTCCTCCTCTGCCTCCTCGGCCTCTGCCTTCTCCTGGGCCCCCTCCGCTGGCGTCGTCGCTGGGCTGAGGTCCTGCTGGCGCCGCTGGTGGCGGCCTCGGCGGGCGCGGCGCGGCTGCGGCCCACCTGGCCGGGTCGCGGAGCTCGTCTGCGCGCCGGTCGACCCCCCGCGCCAGCACGACCCCCCCGAAGAGCTCGAGCAAGAGGTCCTGGGCGAGGTTGTCGATGTAGCCAGCGCTGTCCGCCAGCGCTCTGACCACAGGCGGCAGGTGCACGTGTCCAGGGCGTGCTCCGCCCCCAGCGGCGATCACGGCATATATCGCCCCTGGGCTGGCCCCTGCGAACTCCAGCCCTTGGGCGAAGGTCTCGGCTGGCACGGGGTCCGCTTGCTGCAAGGCCTCCACTGTCGGCTGCCACCAGTCGTGCGTGAGCGGGTGCGTGCTCCATCCCGCCGCCTCCTGCTGGTCAAGCAGCCCCGCCGCTGCTAATAGCAAGGGCACGTACACGCGTGAGTTGGTTCGTTCTCGTAGTGGGCCCGCCAGGGGAGGCCATCCGGCGAAGCGGCCAGGCTGCCGTTGCTCTGCGGCGGTGGGCGCCTGTTCGGGGCGCGCCTGTCGAGGGTCTCCTGCGTCTGCTGTTGTCGCGGGCGGCGACGGAGGGGCGGCGACTGCTGGCTCCGGAAGCGGCGTGGCGGCGCAGCCCTCGCAGAGCCAGGCCCCGTGCCATCTCCACGACCCTCCTGTGGCCCTGGCGGCCCTGGCGACCCACTCGATTGGCCCTGGCCGTCCGCAGGGGCAGCGCGGCGGTCTCGCGCCCTGCGGCGGCGAGACGTCGCTACCCAGGGGGGCCACGTCGCAGGCGCGGCATTCCCAGCTGCCCGCCAGCCCGCTGGGCCCGCGAGAGTGCCGCCACCGCAGGGGTTGGAAATGTCGCGGGCAGACTGCGATGGCGTGCGGCGCGGGCCCTCCTGGCTGCTCAAGGGGCCCTCCTGCGTAAGGGTCCGCCTCCTCCTCACTTGGCGGGCCGGCCGCGGCTCGGCAGCGTGAGCACCTGCACCCTCGGGTGGGGTAGTCTCCAGAAGCGTTCAGGGATCCCGCGAAGCCCGCGAGCGCCGCCACCTGTTGCACAGGGGGCATGGCGACCTTTCGGCACGGGATGCGTCACCTGTGTGGTACAAGTGGGCCATGCCCGCCCGTGTCGGCCGATGCCTCGCTGCGCACGCTGCGTGGAAGCGGTGGGGGACATGGCCGCAAGCTGGCCACGTCACGGTGTCCCCTTCGAGCGGCGTCTGGCAGATGGCGCATTCCTCCCTGTCTGGCCGGTCTGGCCCCTGCTGTTGCTGCGGTGGCTGTCGCTGCTCCTCGGCCGCCTCGCGCCCTGCTGGCGGCAGGGAGAGGCCCGAGAAGTCCCGCCGCCTTCCATCTGGTTCAGGGGGCGCTGCCGGCCAGGCGCCGAAAATGCTAGCGAAGTGGTTCAGCTGCGGTGGTGGTGGCGGTGGTGAGGCCGACCGCGCGCCCGCTCGCGAGTCTGGCGTGGCAAACCCTTCCGGCGCCGACAGCATGTGCGGCGGCGTCTCCGCGAGCGCTGGTACCGGGGCAGACTCTCCCGATCTGCGTTCCGGCGTGCCCGGCGGCTCGTCGGCTGGCCCGGGGGGGCCTGGGTGGCTGGCTTCGCCGACCCGTTGTCCGCGGTAGCCGTAGAGCGCCTCCCGCGGACTCCTCGCCAGTGCGCACTGCTCCTGTCGTGGTGGTGGCGGTGCTTGTGCTGGCGCTGGTGCTGGTGGCGGCGCTGTCGGTCGCTGTCGCGGTGCTGCTGCTGGTCGCTGTGTTTGCGGTGGCGTTGGTGTTTCTGCTGGTCGGTGTCGCAGGGTGTCGTTGTGGTGGTTGCCCTGCTGCTGCTGCTGCTGCTGCTGCTGCTGCTGCTGCTGCTGCTGGTCGTGGTAGCGGTGGTGGTGGTGGTGTTGCTGCTGCTGCTGCTGCGGCTGCGGCTGCTGCGGCTGCTGCTGCTGCTGCTGCTGCTGCTGCTGCTGGTCGTCGTGGTGGTGCCGCTGCAGCTGGTCGCAGTGGCGACGCTGCCGCTGGTGATGGTTGTCGTGGTGGTGGTGTTGCTGCTGATGTTGCTGCTTGTCGTCGTCGTTGTGCTGCTGCTCGCGGCGCCACTGTTGGGAGTCGTGCCGCCTTTTGTGGTCGAGCATGTTGTCGCGTTGCTTCTGTGGGCTTGCTGCACAAGCCGGGGCGCCACCGGGGGCCGCAGCGGAGCCGCGCGAACCCCGATGGGGAACTGGCCCCAGGGGAGTCCCACCGTGGGAATGGGGCTCTTCCCTTGGGGGTCACGGGCTGCAGCTGACGCCAGCCCCCTCCCTCGGAAGGGGCTGGAGGGCTGGCGGCCAGACGGCTGGAATGGCCGTCTGGGGCGGCGGAGGGCCCTGCTG